GAGTTGAGTCGGGGTAAAAGAAGATCGAGGCAAACGACAAGAAGGTGGAAACTTATAACTCCAGGGTCGATCAAATCCCGGGGGCACCACCAATATTGAAGGGTCTGGATTCCAAAAAGTTCGTGCAAAAACCCTTCCCCCCGAGCGCGACTCCCAAACCGATTCCCAAGAAGTTCCGCATGCCCGAGATTCCTAAATACAATGGAACGACCGACCCAAACGAGCATGTCACCTCTTACACATGTGCTATCAAAGGGAATGATCTAAAGGATGACGAGATCGAATCTGTCTTGCTAAAGAAATTTGGGGAAACCCTGTCAAAGGGAGCTATGATATGGTACCACAATTTACCACCTAACTCTATTGATTCGTTTGTTATGCTTGCAGATTCTTTAGTAAAGGCACACGCTGGGGCCTTCAAGGTCGAAACCAGGAAGTCGGACCTTTTCAAGGTAAGGCAGAAGGACAACGAAATGCTCAGAGAATTCGTGTCTCGATTCCAAATGGAACGAATGGATCTGCCACCGGTCGCCGATGATTGGGTTGTTCAAGCTTTCACCCAAGGACTCAATGTTCGAAGTTCAGTGGCTCCGCAGCAGTTGAAGCAGAATTTGATAGAATACCGGTTGTTACTTGGGCCGATGTGCACAATCGGTATCAATCAAAGATCAGGGTCAAAGATGACAGCTTGAAGCTCTATCCGGGTCCGTTTATCCTATTAGGCCCATTGATAGAATCAAGAGGGACATTGACCGAGAACCAAGGTTGAACAAGGATCGGTATCAGCCGTATAATGGAGATCGTAGGAGCAGCAGATCTAGGCGAAATCCTGTACGAAATAAAAGGAGGAGTGATCGAGGCCAGAGCTCTCGAGGGCTTATGAGTAAGAACGGCTTCGACAGGCCTATCGGACCTAAAGAGGCACCACGATTAACAGAATATAACTTTAATGTTGACGCAGCCGGCATCGTATCGGCTATCGGACGCATCAAAGATACCAAATGGCCTCGACCTTTACAAACCGATCCACCCCAGAGAAATCCCAACCAAATGTGCAAATATCATGGCACCCATGGCCACAGAACATAAGATTGTCGACAGTTGAGAGAAGAAGTAGCCAGGTTATTCAACGACGAGCACCTACGGAAGTTTCTGAGTGATCGAGCCAAGAATCATTTCAGAAACAGGGATTCCAATAAACAAAACGAGCAAGAAGAACCTCAACACGTCATTCATATGATTATCGGAGAGGTCGATGTTCCCCAAAGTCCGATGTTAAAACGCACCAAGGTGTCAATCACGAGGGAGAAAGGAACTCGGGACTACATACCAGAAGGAACCTTATCTTTCAACGACGAGGATGCAGAAGGAATCATACAGCCCCATAATGATGCACTGGTAATATTCGTACTGATGAATAAAACTCGAGTTAAGCGTGTGTTAATTGATCCAGGTAGTTCGGCCAACATCATTCGATTAAGGGTCGTAGAACAACTCGGCCTACAGGACGAAATCGTGCCCGCGGCTCGAGTGCTAAACGGATTCAACATGGCTTGTAAAACTACTAAGGGAGAAATAACATTACCAGTGAACGCAGTCGGGACCATCCAGGAGACCAAGTTTTATGTGATCGAAGGGTACATGAGATATAACGCCCTGTTCGGGAGACCGTGGATCCACAACATGAGGGTTGTGCCCTCGACCCTTCACCAGGTGCTAAAATTCCCAACACCATAAGGGATTAAAACAATCTATGGGGAGCAGTCCGCCGCGAAGGAAATGTTTGCCATCGATGAAGTAATTCCAATATCGACACTCTCATCGACAAAGAAGTCAGATTCGAAAGCAAAACAGGAAGCCAAATAGCAATCACAGATGTCGGCCTCGACCCAACTAGATAAGCATGGGACTGACGAAGACGATGATTATGGGGTACCTCGATCCTCCATTGTCCCCGATGATTCCGACGCTACCAAATCAACGGTCGAAGAGCTGGAGCAGGTCATACTGATCGAACATCTGCCCGATCAAAAGGTATACCTAGGCACGGGGTTAACTCCCGAGCTTAGAAAAAAACTCATTCAATTTCTTATAGCTAACATGGATTGTTTTGCTTGGTCCTATCTCGACATGACAGGAATCCCACCAGAGATCATCACTCATAAACTGAGCTTGGACCCGAAATTCCATCAGGTGAAGCAGAAAAGGAGACCCCAGTCCGAGATCAAGCATGCCTTCATCAAAGCGAGGTAACTAAACTCCTTAAAATATGGTCCATCCGGGAAGTCAAATACCCCGAATGGCTAGCAAACATAGTAGTAGTCCCTAAGAAAGGGAACAAACTAAGAATGTGTGTGGATTACAAAGATTTAAATAAGGCATGTCCCAAGGACTCTTTTCCTTTGCCTAACATCGATCGCATGATTGATGCCACGGCCGGCCACGAGATCCTCAGTTTTCTCGATGTCTATTCTGGGTACAACCAAATACGAATGAACCCGGATGATCAGGAAAAGACCTCCTTCATCACTAAGTATGGCACATACTGCTATAATGTAATGCCATTTGGATTAAAAAATGCTGGTGCCACTTACCAACGCCTAGTAAACCGGATGTTCGAAAAACAAATAGGGAAATCTATGGAAGTTTACATTGATAACATGTTAGTTAAGTCCCTGCGAGCAGAGGACCATTTGAAGCATTTGCAGGAAACCTTCAGTATATTGAGGAAGTACAACATGAAATTGAATACGGAAAAATGCGCGTTCGGAGTCGGGTCAGGTAAATTTCTCGGATTCATGGTATCTAACCGAGGAATCGAGATCAACCCCAACAAGATCAAAGCTATCGAGGATATCACGGTAGTGGACAATGTGAAGGTCGTGCAGAGGCTAACCGGGCACATAGCCGCCCTGGGGCGATTCATCTCGAGGTCCTCCGATAAGAGTCATCGATTTTTCTCATTGATGAGGAAGAAAAATAACTTCACATGGACTCTGGAATGCCAACGGGCCCTGGAAGAACTTAAGCAATACTTGTCGAGCCCGCCACTGCTTCACACGCCGAGGGCAGACGAACAACTATACTTATATTTGGCAGTATCGGAGATAGCGGTAAGTGGAGTCCTAGTTCGGGAAGAACAAGGTACGCAATTTCCGATTTATTATGTTAGCCGGGCCTTAGGTGAGGCCGAAACAAGATATCCCCACCTAGAAAAATTGGCGCTCGCTTTGTTGAGCGCCTCTAGGAAACTGAAAATTACTTTCAATGCCACCCTATATGTGTTGTGACAACTTACCCATTGCGAAATATAATGCATAAACCCGAACTATCGGGACGATTGGCCAAATGGGCCGTGGAAATCAGCGGATACGATATCGAATATCGACCCCGAACAGCCATTAAGTCTCAAATCTTGGCAGATTTTGTGGCCAACTTCACGCAGGCCCTAATACCCGAGGTCGAAAGAGAGTTGTTGGTAAACTCGGGAACACCCTCGGGAATCTGGACCCTCTTTACGGACGGTGCATCGAACGCAAAAGGGTCCGGACTTGCCATCGTACTGAAGCCACCCACGGGCAACGTGGTTAGACAATCCATTAGAACTATGAAGCTGACTAACAACGAGACCGAATATGAGGCCATGATTGCAGGTCTCGAGCTAGCCAAAAGCTTGGGGGCGGAGGTGATCGAAGCTAAGTGCGACTCCCTCCTTGTGGTGAATCAGGTTAACAGAACGTTCGAAGTCGGAGAAGAACGAATGCAAAGGTACCTAGATAAGTTACAAGTGACATTACATCGGTTTAAAGAATGGACTTTGCAGCACGTGCCTCGAGATCAAAATAGCGAGGTTGATGCCCTCGCAAACTTAGGGTCGTCGGTCGAGGACGACGAGCTCAACTCAGGGACCGTTGTGCAACTCACGAGATCGGTAGTCGAAGAAGGTCACGCCGAGATAAATTCCACAAGCTTAACCTGAGATTGGAGAAATAAATACGTAGAATATTTGAAAACCGGGAAACTTCCCTCAGATCCAAAAGAATTGAGGGCCCTGCGCACAAAGGCAGCCCGATTCACCTTGTCCGAAGACGGAATCTTGTTCAGAAGAATGTTCGATGGCCCACTAGCAATATGTCTGGGACCAGGAGATACCGAGTATGTTCTGAGGGAAGTTCATACCGAGTATGTTCTGAGGGAAGTTCACGAGGGCACTTGTGGAAATCATTCAGGCGTCGAATCATTGGTTCAAAAGGTAATCAGAGCCGGATATTACTGGATCGACATGGAAAAAGATGCGAAAGAGTTTATTCGAAAATGTGACAAATGCCAAAGATATGCTCCAATGATTCACCAACCTGGGGAACTGCTGCATTCAGTCTTGTCACCATGGCCATTCATGAAGTGGGGAATGGACATCGTTGGCCCTCTTCCATGGGCACCAGGTAAGGCTCAATTTATCTTATTCATGACTGACTATTTTTCTAAGTGGGTTAAAGCACAGGCATACGAGAAGGTTAGGGAGAAGGAAGTCATAGACTTCATTTGGGACGACATCATATGTCGGTTCGGGATGCCATCCGAAATTGTTTGTGACAATGGAAAACAGTTTATCGGCAGCAAAGTGACCAAGTTTCTCGAAGATCATAAGATCAAAAGAATCTTATCGACACCGTATCACCCTAGCGGGAACAGGCAAGTCGAATCGACCAACAAAACCTTAAGAAGAGGTTAACCGACGCCAAAGGGAAATGGAAGGAGATCCTACCCGAAATCCTTTGGGCATACCGCACGACTGCGAAATCTAGTACCGGGGCTACTCCGTTTTCATTGGTTTATGGCGCCGAAGCCTTAATACCGGTCGAAGTCGGGGAACCAAGTATCAGATACCGATATGCAACAAAGGAGTCAAATGACGAGGCCATGAATACGAGCTTAAAACTATTGGATGAAAGGCGTGAGGTCGCCCTTGTTCGATTGGCTGCCCAAAAACAACGGATCGAGAGGTATTACAATCGAAGGGCCAACCTTCGATACTTTAATGTCGGGGACTTAGTGCTAAGGAAAGTCACCCTAAACACCCGGAATCCGAACGAAAGGAAATTAGGTCCGAACTGGGAAGGACAGTACCAGATTCTCGAGGTCACCGGGAAAGGATCCTATAAGCTCGGAATGATGAACGGAGAACAACTACCGAGCAATTGGAATATATCCCACCCAAAACGATATTACTGCTAAGGTACGACCCCATTTAATTTCCTTTTTATTTCAGACTAACACTTGCAGGTGATCAACAAGAAGCGGCATGAAGTTTTTAGGTCTGAAGGCACGCATTGCACTCTTTTTTCCTTAGACCGATTTTGTCCCAAATGGGTTTTTCGGCAAGGTTTTTAACGAGGCAACAATGGATCGTGCTAACTTAGAATCAAGTCAATCACGAATCGGTATCGAAGGTCAAATCAACAATATTTGAGGTCCCTCTACAATCAACCTCGAATACTGGGGGGAGGGAGGGGGGGTATTACCCTCGGATATGCATTATCTTCGGATATCAACTTTAGCGAGGAAATTACTTCGTAAAGGAAGGGTCTCGATAGGTAGGATTTATTGTAAGGGCCAAACCGTCAAACGAACCGTGCCCATATTGATTACTCGAACCCTGGCATAAAACATGTACGCATGTATGACTGCTTTGCACAAGAATAAAGAGAAGTACTTTCCTTGCAATCATCTTATGTTTTAAAAAATTTCCTCTTTACATCCCTTAAAGAGTTTCGTACTTCCGATCTCCTGAAAATAACGAGCCCAAGGGCAGTCTATAACCGGAATACGAACGGCCACTCCCTCACTCGGGACCGCCGTCCAAAAAACTCGAACAGGCCCAAGTCACTAGGCCTCGGGGGCATAAGACCTACTAGGCAACTCACCGGTTTTTAAAGGCCACGGCCACCCCACTCGAAGACTGTTATCTTGGGCAAGTCCGGATAGCTCGGGAAAACAAGTCCAATGGGCAGCTCCCGAACTAAAAGTCTACGACCAAATTCACACGGCTCAAAGACGTCCGAAGCCTGTAACAAAAACTACGCCTTCGAAAAAGAAAATTTTTCACAACCGGTTCTAAAGGCTACCCTCGGCAAACTACAATCTCGGCTACCTACTTAGGGAAAAGGTTCCGGTACCACCGAACCCCCCAATACACCTTAAAACAAAGTAGGGCAAAGGCAAGGTTTGTTTGAACTTTCAAACACAGCCTAAATTACTTTATGTTAAGGTGTTTCGGCCCTTATGAATACAAGTAATAAAGTAAAGGAAAAATTTGAAAGTCAAAGGGGAAAGAAAGCCTTGTATATATAATCTTTTTTACAAAGGCCAGAATGGCCCGATCTAGAAATGTACAATGGCCAAAGCGACCTCAAAAAGATGCAAAACGCAAAAAATAAAAACATCTAAAGGCATAAGTGTCCTAAGCGGCCTGGTCCTCATCGGAGGTAGCGTCTTCATCCTCTGGGTCTTCCCCACCTTCAGATTCAGTTAAGCTCTTGAAGTATTCCTCGGGAAAAGCCAGCTTCCGAGCCCTGGCTTCTTCTACCTTTGCATTCTCGATTTCCGCCAGTATGTCAAAGCCCTGAGCATGGACTCCCTCGAGGGCTTCCCTTCGAGCTTCCCACCTTGCATGATCTACCATGCTCTTGGCCTGTGCCTGAATAGCTTCGACGTCAACCTTGAATTGGGCCACTTTAGCATTGGCCTTGGTACTGGCCACGGCCACCTGAGATTTGGCCGCCTCGAGCTCCGTGGCCAAGCTCTCTTGGCCAGAAACAGCCGAGTTAAGCTCAGATTGGAGCTCCTCGATCCTCTTGGCCTGCACCGAGATCTTCTCCTTTGCAGCCCGAAGCTGAGCCTCGGTCGACGCCAGTTGCGCTTGGACAACTTCCTTTTGCGAGGTTATGAGGTCCATATTTTTCTTGAACTCCTCGGCCTCAGTTTGTATCGTGTCTATCTGCGCTTGGAGCTGCCCGATTTGTCCAAGCCTTTGTCGAACCTGCAGGATCGGATCGTTAGCCATTGAGTCCAGTTCGTCGTCACTATCTTCAAGTACTCGATTTACCTGTTCGGCCCACTCGGTATGCTCCTTCCGAGTCACTTCTAACTCGGTCTGAAGCTTCTCACTCAGAAGCTTATAAGTATCCTTTTCTCGGTGAGCTCCCGAACCTCAGCCTCGTGTTGGGTTAACTCCTCCCGGATTCGGAGGAAAGCCTCATGGTGCAATACCAAGGCCTGCAAGCGTAAAGAAAGGTCTTAGGATTATTTACAACTTCAAATTTAAAATAAATAATAGAGTGACACTCGAAGTTACCCGATTCAAAGCGTGTTGGGCTTCATTAAATAGGTAAGGCGCTTCCACCGCGTCCGTCACGGCTTGGTCTTCTTCGGTCACCAAGCAACTAAGGTAGATAGCAACTCCCACGGGGGCAGAAAAAACCTGGGCATCCTCCGGGATAGAGAAAACTATCGACCGCCTGCAGTCAGGGTTAACACTTGGAGCCGGGAACCGATCCACCAGTTTCGGGCTCGATGAAGACCCACTGGCACCCGATGATGGTACCCTCCTTGGCACCGATAAGTCACCAAGCCCGGTGACATCTTCTGAGGCAGTGGACTCTAACCCATCCAAGAAGTTGTGGATATCAGTTGCATACCGGCCTCGCGTATCATGGCGTCTGAGATCTGAGGGGACCCGGTAAGGTCGACCGCCCCAAGCTCGTCCCTCGGGGCACCTCCCTCTGCCCGAGAAGTGTCGGCCCCGATCTCTCTCTCGACCTCCCTGGCCTGAGGCAAAGCAACCGCACCTCGTTCCGATTCGCAGGTACCGGCCAATGCCTTCTCAACGGCCTCCTCAGTTCGAGGCAAAGCGGTCTGCACCCGAGCCACTAGCTCAGAGTTATCTTTTTCTTCTTCTTCGGACTCATCCCTCAGTCGGCGGATCGAGTCCGATGGGAGGGCGCTGGTACTTTCCTTAGCTTTACGCGCCAGCCTCCTCTTTGGTTTTTTCTTCTCCGAGTCCAGAGGGCTCGGGGCCCTTTTCCTCTTCTTCTCGACACCTTGCCTCGGAGCAGGGGACTCGAGAGGCACATCCTCACCCTCAAATGGAGGCCTCATAGCAACGTCCTTGGGGAGACCTACAAAAAAATAGAGTCGATAACAATTCGACAGCACAAGGAGAAAGTCAAAACCTTATCAAACCAGAAAAGGAAACTTACCATGATTACGGGCCTCCCACCGATCCTTCGATAATTCCATCCAAGCACGCTCGGAATATGGTCTTTGTGACACAAGGTCCTCGACCCATTCCTTGAGTTGGGGAACCACATACGGCATCTGGGCCACAGTTGCAACACCAAAAACACCCATAAAAAGGAGATAAGAGGAGAAACAATAGATTAAATCTTCAAGGCAAAGTAATACTTACGTTTCATGTTCCATTTCTCGGGAAATGGCATGTCCTCGGCAGGGATCAAATCTGAAGTCTTTATTCAAACAAAACGGCCCATCCAACCTCGATCTCGAGCCTCATCTATACTCGAGAACAGGGCCCTACTGGCCCGGCGAGCAAGCTTGACTAGCCCCCCTCGATAGAGTCGGGTACTGTAGAGACGCACAAGGTGATCGAGGGTGAAGGAACACCCTTCGATTTTGTTTACGAAGAATCGATGGAGAATCACTATTCTCTAGAACGAAAGGTGAATCTGGCCAAGAGTCACATCGTACCTCTTGCAGAAAGCAATAATGATCGGGTCTAAGGGACCCAACGTGAAGGGGTAAGTGTAAACACTTAAAAAACCCTCCACGTGGGTAATGATTGACTCCTCAGGCAAAGGGACCACCACATGTTTATTGGCCCAGTTGCAATCTTCTTTAACCTTGGTGAGGAGATCATCGGTGATTGTACATATGTACCTCGAAACCGGCTCGCATCGACCCGGTACCGAGGAAGTTTTTTCAATCTTAAAATCGGCAACGGTCGGGCACCCTGCAGAAACGAACTCCTCAGGGTGTCGTTCCGCCGCAGCCACGTCGCCGGCGGGCCATGATGAAGAGGCGGCCTCCTTTCGCAGGACAGTCTTAGAAGTTTTCGTCATTGTAGAACAGAAGAAAAGGAAATTAGGAAGGTATGTTTAGCGGTTTGCTAAAAACTCAAGAAATTTGGGTGCAAGAGTTGGAAGCAAAGGGATTTTTGAAGAACAAGAATAGGAGGAGTTTTGAACGTAATGTTTGAATAAATGAAAGTTAGGGTATTTATAGCTTGCTGATGACAGTTCAGAACCCATAGTGGCCGACCAGCAACTGACAGGCATTTAATGCCTTGGTAACTGGGCCGACGGGACGTTTCGATATCCGTTTGTCGCTTACGTCATGGCCCATCGAGAGGCGATTCAGAAGTTCATATCGTTTCTCGTCATCTTCTTTCCGAGAAACGAGGGGACTATCTGTATACGGTCAAAACCGGGTTCGCCTCTTAAGCGACTAATCGAGACTGAAAAATGGTAGGTTAAAGTTCAACCTCGAATTATATCAAACCGAGGTGCGAAGCTATATCGTTAAACTCGAGACCATGTCATTGAACAAAATCGAGATTAGACGAGATCGAGGGAAATTTACCAAGCCAAATAACAGAAGGACGAAATATCCGCGATCGGTTGTAGATCACGGCGGAAATCTCGGCACGTATCAAAGATAGGCCGATTGATTAGCAAATCATGAGATTTCTTACCTTGTATCGAATTGTATCAATAGTAGGACTCCCCTACTATATAAAGGGGGTCTGATCATTTGTAAGGGGACACATTACGCAATATAAAGCAATATACTATCATTTTCTAGCTTTTATCATCTTGTAATTATGTTCATACATCAGTCGAGACATCTCTCGGATCAAGGGTGATCAAACTCGAGGGTCAAGACTGTTCGATTTGATAATCAGTTTGGCATAAGGTTGCTCGATTCGTGTGGTTTGCATTAATTCTTTTATCGCCAATTTCAATTTTAATATGTTTCCTTAATTTGTATCAAGTTATATCACGTATCCTTAAAACCGCGTATAAATTCAATCGTTTGTATCAAGTTATATCGTGTATCCTTAAAACCGCGTATAAATTCAATTGTTATCCGATTTTTAGGGTAAACATATGTCATCTGGATAACTGTATCGAAAGAGACAATTAAAGATCACATGGATGATGCTCCTAGAAAAATGCAAATGCGAAGCAAATTACGATAAACGAGATAATTGCAGATGAAAGAGCAAGGCAAAGAATGACCTTAGTGTCATCGGCATCATTTAAAACATAAGTCAACCTCTTCTCCTTCCGAGCCCGCACCGAATTGGATGTGTTGCCTGCACTTGCTACACGGTGCATCGCAGATATCCCTAGAAACCAACCAAACGGACTTCAATGTTCTGTTTGTGTTATAAGTTCCAACAAATAATTTGTAATTCAGAAGAAGAAGAAGAAAATCGACCTACGTCATTAAAATCGCCCGCTTTCAGTCAGTAGAAACCCTTCTGCTCCTTGCTGGAATTCTTTTCAGGTATATCGACTAAATTCCATTTGTCTTCACAGTTGAGAATGAAAGCAGATTAAATTATTGGTAGCTTTGATGGTTTTGGGATGAAATGATCTTTTCAATTCTTTTTCCTTTTTACCTTCTCCTCTTTCTCAAAGTCAAACACAAAACCTTGTCAATTTCTCATTTAACCACAGATTATTTCAAACGGTGACATTATTCACTCCAACTTTGGATGGGGCACCACATAAACAAGTAAGTACATGATTTTGAAACTAAAGTTAATTGTTGAATTTAATTATTTTGTTGGTTTGGATGTATTGTAATAAAATAAAATGTGTATATATATTGAGGTGGGCATTACTTTCTAACAAGGTACTATTCCTTAAATCTGCATAATTTCTTTTTTCTAAAAGTTGATTTCAACTCAAAAGAGACCTAACCTCAAAATAGACACTTATATTTGCACTAGTTTGTATTTCTGAACCCTCCACTCTCATGTTCCACGGGATTTTATTTGGACTCAACTTGATTAACATAAGTATTTTGAATGCATCTAATCGTGTGTGTCACCTAATCGTGTTAATGTATTATTCATGTTAGATAAAAATATTCCATTTCATTATTATTTTTACAAAATTATTTTAAGAAAAATCTTAACCTTAGCCATTTTCTCTTTCTTCTCATAAACAACTTTACTATCTCACCTCAAGTTAAATCTCCTTTCTCAAACTTTTTCATATCTATGAAATGCTTAAACTTTTTCAAGTCATTTTTATTTATCTTGTGTGAATATGGAAAGATACTCATTCATAGGTCTGAGCTCTACATCTATAAATTAAAAGGTCTGGATGTTAACCTTTGCAATTAGTTGTTAGAATCAACATGTCTTTGAATTGTTGATTTGAAAAAATGAAAATCATTCTTATTGAACAATTATGATACTTCTCAAAATTCAATTTTTTTTATTAAAAATATTACTATTTTTGTTTAGTAAGATGTCAAAGTGGATGATTGACTCATTCCATACTAGAAACTATTGCAAGAAATCTATTAATAGTTAAGATTTCTATTTCTTAATGATATTCCTCAATCAAGACAATTGGATGAATCCCGTGATACCATTTCATAGAAGATTATTGACAACTTTATTTTATAAAGCAAATCGACTTCGACTCTTGAATAATCCACATCGATAGTTCTTTTTCTTTTTGTCCAACCCCCTAAATCACCCTCCTACCCTCCTAATTTATTTTAAACCCCTAAGTTTATAAAATTATACTTTAACCTTAATTCTAACTATAAATACCATTCTTCTTTATTTTCATACAAATCTTCCAACTCTCTCTCTCTCTCAAATTGTTATTAAGTATTCAGGAATTTATTTGATAATTGCTATTTATTATTCGAAAATTAGGAGTGAAGTTGACAACTAGATTGGGGATTGAGCAAGTTTTAACTATTAACCTTCTAACATTGGTGTTTGGTACTGTCATGATCCAAACTTCTACCAAGTTGTGATAGAACCTAACTCAACTCGCTAGGTAAGTCAACCAATATAACATCACCTAATCTGAATATTATTAATAAATAAAAAAAATGAGAATATGAAATTCAGTACAAACTACCCAAAGAACTGGTGATACAAGTCGTGAGCAACTAAAATTTAGAACTTTAACGTTGGTATAAAGAAAATACATTATCTATTTGGATATACATAAATAGAAGTACATTATCTAGTGTCTTTAGTGCTTACCCTTGAACCCCGCAACAGCTCAGCTCCAATATTTGCATGCAAGATGCAAAAGTGTTGTATGATTACATTCGATCACATAAACTCAGCAAGTATCAAGACTAACATTAACGAAGTAGTGACAAGGTTTTAGTCAAAGATATTTACTTTATAAAACTTGTGCAGTTCATAAGCATATACAATAATAGAGAAGCAATCAAGGAACAACGGATATTAACAATAAGGTGCACAATCAAAGAGGAGGATAATAAGCACACTTTACGAATAATAGGGTCAAAGGCATAAACAAATGCACCAATTTGTGAGACTTCAAGTATGATTCTAGACTCGTTCGAGGATGAACATTTGTTCAAGAGGGGAATAATGTAACGATCAAGTTGGTCGTTTTATGCATTGTAGATTTGTTCCCCTACTTATTTCTTATTCTATGTTCATTTGTGATTTTTGTGACTTGCTGGGGTGGTTGGTTTGGTTTCGGAAATGTTTGAGAGGAAATTGGAACACTTAGCCCAAGGTTGGAATCTTAAGTTGAAAGAGTTGACAGAAGTTTGACTTTTATGTAGCCGACTCCGGAATGGAGTTTTGATGGATCTGATAGCTTCGTATAGTGATTTTGAACTTAGGCATATGTCCGAATATTGATTTGGAGGTTTGTAGGTTGGTTTGAGGATTTTTGGCGAAAGTTGGAAAGTTGAAGGTTTGGAAGGTTTAGAGGTTTGACCGAGAGTTGACTTTATTGATGTCAGGTTTGGATTTTGGTTCTAAGAGTGGGAATAGGTCCGTTGTGTCATTTGGGACTTGCATGAAAAATTTGAGGTCATCCGGAATTGGTTTGGTATGATTCGGAATTAGTATTAGAAGTTGAAAGTTAATTAGTTCATTAGGCTTGAATTGGGGTGCGGTTCATGATTTTGATGTTGTTTGATGTGATTTTAGGCTTCGTATTGTATTTTAGGACTTGTTTGGTATATTCGGATGAGGACACGGGGGCCTCGGGTATGATTCGGATCAAGTTCGGATTCATTTTGGACTTAGAGGAGCTACTGATTTCCGTGCATCTGGTTTCCTCTTATGTGATTGCGAGGAAAGGGTTGCGGTCGTGATCGCGAAGAGTTATTGCTCGCAGGTGGACTTTTGTTCATCGCGTTCGCGAGGAGAAGGACGCGATCATAGCTTTGGGTGTTTGTTCAACGCGAACGCGTGTGAGGGGAAGCGTTCACGAAGAAGGAAGGGAAGGCTTGAGCAATTGCATGCGGTTGTTCATCGCGATCGCGTGTGGTGGTCCGCGATCACATAGGTGTTGGTTATATGGATCCATTCCCCTAGGGTCACCCTCTCATGTTTCTCTCTTGATGGTGAACACACGGATATTGAGAAAAAACGATCAGTGCTTTGGTACATATATGGAAAGGTTGAAGAAAGTCTAGCGAGTGTTTGTCTAGATCTGCATTTCATCTTTACTTGCAATTGCCATGGTTAATTACCTGATTTACTTGCATATCATCTTTATATGATGTATCATTAGCTGAATAGAGAACTTGAATAATTGCACACACAAAGGGTTCTTTCTGTGCTTTATGAGTTGATTACATCATTCTTCTAAGCTTGTTAAATTGATGAAACCGTACAGGTTATAGCAGGTATCATTTATAATTCTTGCTTCTTTTTTACCTCGCCAAGTTTAGTTATGATACTTATTGAGTATGTTAGGTTGGTTGTAATCATACTACAGTCTGCACTTAATTGTGCAGATCTAGGTGCTGGAATCAGTTACCAGCAGCGGAGCTGCTTGTTGAGCCGAGTATCGAGAGACGAGGTAGAGCTGCATTCTACTCCGCAGTTTTGGCATCTATTTATTATGTATTATTGTCTTTATTTCAGGTAGTATGGTAGCTGGTTATTTCAGACTTCTATTTATGTATTAGAGATCATGACTCAATATTTACTAGTTCTGGGGGAATTTATCATGTATTAGCGGTATTTTATTATATTGAGATTTCAGACTTATGCCATTTATTTAAATTTCGTTATTATGGTTCTTTATTGTTATGTTTCGGCTTTCTTAGCCGGTGTGTTAGGCGTCATCACGAAGGGTTGGGATTTTGGGTCTTGACATCAGTGCTTGTGCATGGACCCGCCCTTCCAGAGTAAGGTAATAACCTATGGGTGCAGGCATACATGTCATATATATGCAGTTGGTTGGTTTGAGGTAGGGGAGGCTAGGTTGTTGGGCACCGATCTGGTTCGGGATGCCTTGGAGAAGGTAAAGTTGATCTAGGAGTGGCTACGTTCAGCGCATTCCAGACATAAGAGTTATGCTGATAGGAAGGTTCGTGATGTTGCATATATGGTGGGTGAGAAGGTTTTGCTCAATTTTTCACCTATGAAGGGTGTGATGCGGTTTGGGAAGAAGGGCAAGTTGTATTCTCCGCACTATGGGTATTGTGGAGATGAGTGGGGTTGCTTTTACTACGTTCCAGCTCAAGGGAGCGGCATATCAGTGGTGGCGAACGTACGAGTTGGGTAGCCAGGCCGAGGCAACTTCACTCACATGGGATCGATTTTCAGAGTTCTTCTTGAGCTAACTGAATACTGAAAGGCATGGAGATTGTAATATAAGGTCTGAATGAGAAGGTTAGTTACCTTCTACATTTTTCACTTGCTCTTCAAAGAGATGGGGATATCTGGACTTCATGTCCTTTTCGACTTCCCACGTAGCCTCTTCAACATTTTGATTCCTCCAATGCACTTTCACTGAATCACTTTCCTTAGTTCTAAGCTTGTGTATTTGATGATCAAGGATAGCCACTGAGTAGAAACCAGCAATGCAATGTGAAGAAACAATGGTCCGAAATCAATTCGAAACACGCTCGGGCCCCTCGAGACCATGTCCGAACATTCCAACAAGTCCTATAACATGACACGGACCTACTCGGGGCCTCAAATCATGTATAACAACATTGAAACGATGAATCGCATCTCAAATGAAACTTAATGAGCTTCTGAACTTTCAACTTCCAAAACTCGCGCCGAAACATATCAAATCAACTCGGATTGAACTCAAATTTTACACACAAGTCCAGTTGACTTTCGGGGGAGGATGTAACGACCCGACTAGTTATTTTGAGAGTAATAGCCTCGATCCCCTAATAATTGCTTTCCCCGTATCATTTTATGCTTATGTGACTTGTCAGGGGTTTTGTTTTTGGTTTCGGAGTGAATTGGGACACTTAGTCCCTAAGATGGAAGCTTAAATTTTAGGAATTTGACCGTAGTTGGAGCTGCATGAAGACGGCTCCAGAATGGAGTTTCGTTGGTTCCGTTAGCTCCGTTGGGTGATTTTTGGACTCAGGAGCACGTCCGGATTGTGATTTGGAGGTCCCTAACAGAATTAGGCTTGAAATGGCGAAAGTTAAATTTTTGGGAAGTTTGACAGTGGAATGGACTTTTTAATATCAGGGTCGGATTCCGATTCCGGAAGTTGGAGTAAGTCCGTAATGTCAATTATGAATTGTGTGCAAAATTTGAGGTCAATCGGACGTGAATTGAT